ATGGGACCGAAGCATCTCTCATCGGTATTCTAAGTGTTCTATCGTCCTTCCAAAGAAGTTCTGGATTGGCTTTAAATCTAAGAAAATCGTGTCTCTTCTTGAATGGGAATAATCAGTTGCTTTGTCGCGAGCTTGCAGATCGATTCGGTTTAGTGAATGGCTCTCTACCTGTAAGGTACTTAGGGCTTCCTTTAATGCCACACAAATTGAGGCCCCAAGATTATCAGCCTTTGATTGATAAAGTTCGAGCCCGTATATCCTCTTGGACAGTCAGACACATTTCATTTGCCGGAAGTATCTTCAACTTCTGGGCTTCGGTCGTCCCCCTTCCAAAAAGTTGCTTGGTTCTTCTTGATAAAATCTCCAACGCTTTCCTTTGGAGCGGATCCTCTACTTCTGCTCGCAGTGCTAAGGTAGCTTGGTCTTCGTTTTTACTCCTAAAGCAGCTGGAGGATTGGGTCTTCGGAAATTGGAAAATTCTTGTCAAGTTTTTGGATTAAAGTTGATTTGGCTTCTTTTTACTTCAACTGGGTCTCTTTGGGTCGCATGGATACACAAATATGTTATCATAGGCCGCTTAATTTGGACAACTGATTTTCAGAATGATGGAAGCAGGATTTGGCGTAGGCTGATGAAACTTTGTGTTTTAGCTCGTCCGTTTTTGGTGTGTCAAGTGCGGTCTGGTTCGTTGGCTCTCTTCTGGCATGATGACTGGACCAACTTGGGTCCCCTTCTTGATTTATCAGAGCCAGAAGGACCTCGTGTCTCTGGTATTCCTCTTATGGCTACAGTGGCCGAAGCTTGTCCTCTTGGCTCTTGATCTATTTCATCTAGAAGACATCCTATCTTAGTTCTCTTGCGGGCATGTATTCCTCAAGATCTCCCCTCATTAAATCTCGAACCAGATTTCTATCTTTGGAGGAATTCCTCTGACAGTGCTCCGGGTATGTTCTCATCTTCAAAAACATGGTTGTCGTTGAATCTTTCTCCTCCATCAGTCAGTTGGTATAAATCTGTTTGGTCTAAGGAAAGAATCCCCAAGCATTCCTTTTTACTTTGGGTCCTGATGAGAGATCGTTTAACCACCCGCGATCGTCTGAGGAGTTGGGGTCTAGATGTGCCTTCTGAGTGTTTATTATGTGGAGCTTCGGAGGAATCAGCGAGTCACCTGTTTTTCGAATGCTCTTATTCCTCTGAGCTTTGGAACACTTTCTTCACACATCGAGAGCTCTCTCCTCCATCTTTGTTCAATGACATTGTCGTTTGGGTTCGTTCATCTTCGCGCATTAAGAAAGTAAATGTCATCTGCTCTCTTATCTTCCAAGCAGTTTTCTATGACCTGTGGAAAGAGAGAAATAGCAGATTACACTCTAATGTCTGTAAATCGGTCCAATCCATTGTGTAAGAAGTCCAAATCCAACTTCGAGCTAAGCTTGCTGGTCTTGATAAGAATTTCAACGCATCATCTTCCCCGTATGCTTCAGATACTGTTAACGATGAATCATATCTCTACACCTGGTTTAAATATATCCAAAGATAGCCCCTTATCCTTCCTGATCATCATCAAGTCTCTGTTCTCTGTTTCACGTGAGTTTCTCTTTTTGTATGAAGTTTTGTATCCTTTTATCCTTTGTTCTCTCTATTCCTCCGCACTTATAATTTCAAATGATGCCTATTTTAAAAGGCGAAGAAGAATAAAGATGGAAGTTGTTTAAAAAAAAAACAAAAAAACAAAAAAAACAATCCAAACCTGAAAAATCTTGAAACCCTAGTATATACTAATATAGTAATATATATATATATATAAAGAGAGATAGAGAGAGACAGAGAAAGAGAGAGAGACCTCACACGAAAGTGATTTTTGGTTGTGTAGACTCATTTGTATCATTATAACCTAGACCGTCTCACAAAAACTGCCAAGGGACGCCGTGATCTCCTTGCCTAGAGATTCTTTTCAAACCATAAGTCTCTTTGACGTTTTCATAGCAATGACTATCATGACGTTTTCTATGTGTTGGATTTAGCATATATGAGTTTGTGTATTTCATAGGTCCTTTTTTATATGAATGGTTTTTAGTTAAAAAAACTTCTTAATGGATCGTATAGAAACATCTCGAATGTAGAATCACCTCAACAACTAAGTTTGTTTTAGTTATTTAACCCCTGTGTTTTCAAAACCCACATTGTAAACAGAGGGGTTCTCATTAAAAAAACTTACATGAGGGGTTTTATATTATAAACATAGTTGATGATTTTTTTTCTGATCCATCTTTAGTTAAGGGGGTTTTTCACTGAAAACTGTACAATAAATTACTTTAATTTTCAATACAAAACATACCATCATCTTTATTTCTTTGAGAATATTGAAATTCAATCATTGTAAATACTTCAATGGCGTTAAGCAAAGGCGGTTGAGATGAATTTTTAATTCTTTTAATCTATAATAATTTCTTAACTTCGCAAACTAATGATATTGCGCTGAAAACAGTGTCGGCTTCTAGATAATTAGGGTTTAGATAGTCATAAAAAATTTCTCCATCCCACGAAATATTAATCTCTGTAGTCTGGTTGGCCTGTAAAGCTTAGACCTCGGCGAAGTGAACGTACATATAAATTTTATTATTAAGGAACTCAAGATTTTTAGTAAACCTCAATGGTGCACTAGCATTCACAGGTATTGCGGTGGTAGTGAGCGCACTGTAGCAGAAGATAAATATTGGAGTTGTTCACTTTCAGCGTGGTGGAGATTTTCTTCCATTCTGACTGAAAGTATGGAATCCATTTTTGATCATAGAAATCAATTGATTACCTTCACTGTACACAATTTTGTAGTATTAAACGTGGACAACCAAATAAAGAAAAGAACCTTGATTAAAAATAGTTTACTTTCCGAACTTAATTTTATTGAAATATGAATATCAATTTAAAATAACCTGTCTTTGTCTCAACTGAAAAAAAATACTAAGGGTGAAGCTTAGAAATCACTGGATCGTGTGGTGTTTGGGACGAGACTATACAAAATGCTTTGGTCCAAGACCTGAGGAATATACAGGCCATAGCCTACAACCTCCTAATCATTCTAAAAAGAAACTTACTGTAAAACACTTGTTGATTCGCGAAGATATGACCTTAGTATCGACTTGAAACAACCTGATTATTGCTGTAAACATCAGTTCTAGAGACCTTAGTACCAAGGCCGATATGGTTGGCATTGATAGGCCTATCTTTATTAGACACACATCCAAAGAGTTTGACTGTGGGATGTAAATGATATCTTACCATTTGTCTCGATCTACATTGTTCTCCAGATTTATTGTACCCAGAGGTTTGGGCCTACGTATATATCAAATCTAGGAGAAATATTACGAAAATTTTAATTTCCATAAATACTTGTACTCTGATCAGAAAATTTGTTCCCTGATGCACGCTAAGATTGTAAAAGTTTAGCATTCCATATTCCAGATTAGCATTCTTCGATTTTACCAATCTTTCTTGTTTGGATGAAGCTTGAATCTGATGAGAACTGTAATCCAGTTTCTAAATCTACGTAAGGAGATGTTCATTGGAGAATAACCCGAAATCAAAACTGATAATCCCAGTTAAAAAAAGAAAGATAAACGATGTTAATTGAAAACACCCGATTTTACCATTTTATAGATTGTTTTGATATCTTATACAATTATTTTAACCTTTTTTCAAAGTTTTTCAAACAGTTTTTACATTTTATAGTTTAAAGTGTATTTCAGGTAATTTGGATTAAAGAGTGCATTTCAAAAGTATATTTTTGGATAAGCTTGGACGTCAGAAAGTTTTGCAATCAAAGAAGACTGTTTTACTGTTTGGTCATCTCCAAATTTGGACACAAAAAGAGTAGACAACCAGCTTTAAAAATGCAATTTGGTTTGACGACATCCCAACAGTTAGATTTCTAGATATTTATGATGCGCTAAAGATAGATGATATTGCCTTGAAGCAAAAATGAGTCATGTAGAGAAGCAGCCTGGGGCATGGCTCAAGCCAGCGCACCCGCAGCCAGAGAAGACGTACCTGTGGCCAATACAACTTGGCTTAACCTAGCCTGTTTTGATCTCGAGAGTTACATTGACTTCTTTTCTCTAAACCCTAAGTGTCTCCAAGGAAAAAAGACTGAAAATACAGGTTTTTAGGTATTTCTTATGTATCTCGTTCAGGCTTTATGTTCTTTGCTTTATTTGATTTGTAGAGGAGTCCTTCTCGCCATTTTGTTCTTCAATAAAAGAAGCTTTTCTTCATCCTTTTTCTTTTACTTTACTGTTATCTTTTAAAACCAATGATGTTAACTCAGTATGTCTAAGTAATTACAAGAAAACATGGATTTAGTGACCACAAGAACAGTCGCTATGTAGTCGCTAAAAGTCCATTTACAACGTATTAGCGACTAATTCAATTGGTCGCTAATATTGAGTCGCTAAATAAAAGAGTCGTTAATCTGTCGCTAAATAGCGACTGAATAACGACTACGTTTGCGACTCAATCGCGACTAACCAGCAACTATTTTGACATTTTCAAGCGGTAATTTTGTGCAATTTAACAATTGTTTACCGACTAATTCCCGACAACTTTGCGACTGATTTACTACTGCATTGTGACTGTTTTCATAATGAAAATTCATTTTGGTATTACGAATTTGCTCCTCCATACCTTGTAATTTGAATCCACTTATAGATTTTATAAAAAAATTGTTTCAAATAATAATTTGACACTATATATATGAAAAGAAGAAGCATAGAAACATTAAATTACATATGTTCTTCTAAAAAAAAAGAGAGATCACATACAAAGTCAAATGTCATAGTAACTTCCATTGGAAAATGAGTTACTATATACAACCATGGAGATAAGTCAAAATGAGATCAAAGTCATTGAAAAAGTTCTAGAGCCTAAGATTCCGAGAGATTACTAGAGAGCACCATTGATAAGAGTTCAAAGGAGACCAAAAGAGTTGAGAGAGGTAGAGTAACCTATGATTCCGGGAGAATAATGGTTTGAGGAGCAGAAGTCATCGGAGCAGCATCTGGCTCTTCATAGGTGTTGTTTGCGGCCAAAAAGTCTAAAAACCCTGGATCAGTTGCAGCCAAATACCTATCGACCAGGGAGAGTTTGTCGATCTTCGCTTGTTGCTCTGCAGAAACTCTTGTAAGATCGGACTTTTGCCTTGCATTCTCAGCTGCTTGTTCTTCTATTTTGCGTTGAGCTTCTTCTAGTTGTTCTTGCAGAGTCTTGTATGTTGAAGAGCTACCCGGGTACTTCCTCATTCCATTGATATGCGACTGTGAAAGGCTTCCAATTCCATATGGAATGCCTCTTTCATTTGTGAATGTCGACTGCAACAACAAAAGAATGATTCAAACAAAAAAAAAACCAAATGATCACACTATATTATAAAATACAAACAACAAACCAAAAACGAGGACTTACCTGGAGAAAGAGGTCGTTCTCCTCTTCTACGGTTAGCTCCTCTAAAGCATCTGAGTCTAGTGCCCCTTGGTTACTAATTCTAGCTTCCAAGTTCCTCTTATACCTTTCAGCCACGCTCTCTGCCTTTCGGTCTACAAAGGTCCCATCTGCTTTTGTGTGAGTCTTGATGAAAACTTCACCAAGACTCACCGGTCTTCCCAATTCTTCTTCTTGCAATGATAAGAACAAGATGCAAGAGTTAAAAGTTTAAAAGAACAAGATGCAAGATGCAAGAGTTAAAAGTTCAAAAGAACCGATGATATAGTACTTACCATTTCTTGTTGGATTTATAGATATGATTTTTGACCTGACACGGGTATGTGAGGGCCAAGACCCTTACGTTCAGACAGCCGAGCCCCTGATGTGGTTGCACTCTTCTCTTTGGCTTCTTCAGTGTTCCAATACTGGCTCATTTGCTTCCAGAGAGTATCACCTATCCAATTAGGTTGCTCCCGAGAAGTCCTTACTTTGCTTTCCATATCTTTCATCTTTTGTTGACATATACTCTCAAACTTTTGTTGAACAACACCAGTTATTAAGGGATCCCAGGTGTGTGTTTTCTACAAAAAACATGAGAGAATATGATGTTAGTGAGCAAACATAAAAGATAAAAAAACTGAATCAAAGTTACAAAAAAGGGAATACATTACCGCGAATTCAACAAAGAACCGCTCCTGTCTTTCCCGAGGCACACATGTCCAGCTATAAAAAAGACCATCGAACTTGTTTGTAAAGACTTTGGTTATCTTACGGGTCAGTGAAGACTTGTCACGACCAAACCTACAAACAGAGAAACAATCAGTTACAACATATGCAATATCAATATCACGACATATGCACCAGTACATGTCACATAACTAATACACAGACATATGCAATATCACGATGAGAACAATATCACATATGTACTAGTACTAACCAAAACAGGCATCAGTTTCAAACAAAACACATATCACACGTAGCTACACATCCTACACGAAGCTACACAACCTACACGAAGCTACACATCCTACATATATGTGTGAATCTATCGTTCCAAGTTGTATTCGGCCTAAGTTAAGAGAGAGAGAGAGGCATACCATGTTGTATTCGGCCTCTTTATTGGAGAGAAGACTGTCGTAAAATCTTCTCTGCCAGGTTAAGTGAGCATAGCATTGAGGATTTGTAGCTGGTCCTCCACGAGATTGGCTGGGACTAGGTATTCTTCTTCTTCAAAGGTGGCTCCTTCATCCGCTTCAGAATTGGTAGCTTCAAACGCTGGAGAAGTTTGCTCTTCAGACATTGGAGAGGGTCGGTGATGAGAGTGTGTAGAGCTTCGTGGTTGAGGCAGCAGAGAGGTACGATGTTGAGACTGTGGAGAGTTGGCAGATCGAGACTCCGAGCTCCGACGTTAACTCTGTGAGTGCTGGAAAAGCTGATTAGGTGGTGGATAATCCCTCACCGAGACCGATGGTTGGCATGTGCGCACAAGTGATGGCAGAGATTTGGATGTTCTCGCCGGAGTGAAATCGCACCGATTAGGAAGAGGGGATGGAGTTCTGGCTTGCGAAGAAGATGCACCACCTCTTCCTCCTCTTCCTCGTCCTCTCTTCCTTCCAGCGGCACCCATCTGCGAATAGATTGAGAGAGAGGAGATGAAATCGATTGTATCAATTAGGGTTAGGGAAGAAGGAGTTTAGTCGATTAAATGGAGGGGAAACTGTTTTAGAGAAGAAATGAAATTGATTCAGAGAGAGGAGAACAGATTCGATCGAAGGGGATTAAGGTTTGGAACAGATTCGAACAGATTTGATTGAAGGAGAAATTGGATCGAAGGAGAAAGGGGATTAGGGTTTCTCGATTGAAAAAAACGATAGAGAAGAAATGGGTAAGTGTTTTATGTTTTGGGCTGGTTTTGGGTTTAATTACGTTTTTGTTTTTTTTGGCCTAATTGCGGTCACAAATCAGTCACAAATTACCGACTGTTACATTTTAGTCGCTACATTAGTCGTTATCTGGTGATTACGTTATAAATCCATGTTTTCTTGTAGTGGGGTATAGAATCATCAAAAGGGTCTTCATGGATTGATTACTATCTATGTTTTTAGATTAGGATATCAAGTTTATCAATGGTTCTTTTGTTAATTCTTCTTATTAATGCATGTTTGCTAGATTGATCTTCTTGCATCTGTTCTTAGGTTGAATTAAAACCACAACAGTCACGTTTAATTACCAGATTTAGAGTCCTAAAAATAATATTATTATAAAAAACGAAGCTACCTATAGAGTATCGTGAACATAAAAAAAAATTTGATTTAAGTAAATTAATTATTTTAAAATACTTCAATCATGGGGTTCCAGATCTAGTATTCCTAATATAAATTAGTCTTAGTGAGAGACGAAAAAAAAATGTCTTAGTGAAAAGAAAACTTTTAAAATATGTAAATTTAAGACAAACATATGTTTTTCTTATCAAGTATTGTAACAGTGCCCTCTCTAAATATTTACAAAGAAAACCTTTTGTAATAGCTAACACATATGATTTATATATTTTTTCTTAGTTAATTAAGAAGATATCTAAAATTTTTCATGGCTGTAATTTGAAGTTATATAGTCGTAAAGATCCAAAACATATTTTATATAACAAAAGATCCAAAACATATTTTCAAAAAAGAAACAAATGCCCCAAAACGTATAATACATGTATCAGCCATATTCATACCTTAAAACGTTATCCATATAATATAATCATACATTGAATTTAATTAATAAAAAAATTTTAATTCTACTTTCCGAACATGCCAGATTTTATACCATATATCTCTATTTTATTTCAAAATTTATTTTGTGATAAAATATATGATTTTCTTATATCTCTATTTGTTATTGTATATCATATATCTCTATTTTGTTATTTTAAATTATTTTTTTCCATATATCATGATTTCAAGTAAAATAAAAAATTTCTAAATAAATAGAGGTATACATTATATATGTTAAGATGTCTTAGTAAATATATATTTTTTAAACTATAAATTTAGGTAAGCCATAAACCTTTTTTTTTGTCAAAGTCATAACTCTAATTAAATGCATTAGATACACATACATACATACGAATGTATATAATTAGGTCTAGTCAGCTAAAAAAATGATTTACTATAAAGGAATGGCTATAATTCAAAGTAATAATTCCAGCAATGTAATAAGAAATCTAACGAGAAATGGCACATTTTATTCACTATATAAACAATTCTCATCCTCGAAAATTATATAGAACAACCACTCAATAAAAAAAAAGTACATAACAAAAGTTAAAATACCAAACAAAAAAGATGGTTAATCATGAAAGCGGTACGCATAAGACGATCACCAAAGGAAAATAAATTTTGGAGAATACGTGTGAGGAGAACCTTAAGGAGAAGGATGAGTCTTCTTCTTCTTTACCTCCTCCTGTTGCTGTGGAAGCAGATGTTACACCAATCAGGTCTTATGATCCTATGCAAAATCAACGTCTTTATGATTTTTATCTTGTTGATCTTCCAAAAAAAAATCGATGCTTTTATTAAGAGCACTCCTCAAATTTTGAATGATAAAGAACCTGTTCATTACAATTATCAGGCTCTTTATGATTATTATGATTCTATCCCACAAAAACTTCATGATTTTAATATGAAGAATAACTTGAATTCAAATCTGAATATGATTTCGGATGCTGATGATCTTGGTATGAATTCGGACACAAATGTGAGTCCAAATGAAAAACAATCCTTCATGGATATGTCAAAGGAGCAGACGGGTGATATTGGAGAACATGTGGACATTCCTTCCATGGATGGCAGCCACCACCAACCATCAACCGCAAGCCTTGTGTCCCCAGTTACTGTCGGTGATGATTGTGCTCCTAACATCACTGATAATCTTTAGTGGAAGGGAATTGTTTTCGTGCGAAGTGTTTGATGAGGTCTTGTGTTTTCTTTTTCAAGTTTAATGTTGTAATAATACTTAATGGGTTTCTCCTTTTAAGTCAGTTGGGTTATTTTGAATTTTTCATAATGGAATAATGTCTTTGCGCAAAAAAATAAAATTTATTTGATGGAGTTTAGGTCATTTATAAACAGTAGTTTGTTACAATTTTAAAAATAATCAATGCGAAAAAGACATTAATAACACTAGAGAGTAGAAAGTTGTTCCTCAACCTTAAATCTTTCTACCAACAGTCACATATACTCTTAAATCATTGCCTCTGATGTTTGTGCTCTTTGTGCTCTGAGTGAGTCCAATTTTCCAAATGAAGTTTGATAATTTATGTTTTCTTCTTTATTTCAAAATGTGTTCTTTTATACATATATATATATATATGTCTTTTTAATTGTTAATTAACCTTTTTATCGTAAAGATTTTAATTATAAATCATTTTCATTATTTGATTATTAAGTTATTTCTACTAAATCTCGTTCCCTTTCTTGTTTGATCCATTGCATGTGTGTTCTTTTTCATGAAAATTACCACGTCTTACATGATGCTTGTTAAAAGTTTCGCCATAATTTATTAGGTAGGCTGTTGTGTTATTAACTTATTTTGACTATCATGATCACTAAGTAAACAGACCGTGCGAGAAATTTGGATATATGCAAAATTACATCATCAATAATACATAGTATCCATAGCAATATTTTTTTCAAGGCTTGTAAAGTATTTTACCTAGATAATGAATTTTAATTTTTATGATCACGTAGAAGTTTAAACATGATGTGATATACCAAATTCGGCCTAAATCCATAAAATCCAAGAAAAAACTCTAAATCTCATTAAAGACAAAAATGTCTGTTTTCCTCAAACTCTAGCCCTAATGAGCTCGCCCCTTGCTCTATATAAGGTGGATGCATGTTTTCTAAGAGCCACAGAGAGAATAGCTCTCTTCAAAAATTGTCTTAGACCAGCCAGCCATCAAAAGAGATAAACTGTAGAAATAGTCTTGAGCGAGCATGTTGTTGGGCAGATTGCAATCAGATCAGGAAGAGTTTAGTGGCGATCAGCACATCTCTTGAAAGTACTCATGGCAAAGTAGCCATAGCAGTTGACCGAATCATCATTAGGGATGTTACCAAGCCCTTTTCTCGTCAAACCAGAAGGACATAGATCATGATCGACATATTGCTCTGAACATCTAACAGTCCATATCGACATCCAGATCTTGATCACAAGGTAACACACAAAAGTTACGGACTTGACTTCTGGGCCAAGAAACAGTCCAAACCTGAAAAATCTTGAAACCCTAGTATATATTAATATAGTAATATATATATAATATATATATATATATAGAGAGAGAGAGATAGAGAGAGATCTCACAAGAAAGTGATTTTTGGTTGTGTAGACTCATTTGTATCATTATAACCTAGACCGTCCCACAAAAACTGCCAAGGGACGCCGTGATCTCCTTGCCTAGAGATTCTTTTCAAACCATAAGTCTCTTTGACGTTCTCATAGCAATGACTATCATGACGTTTTCTATGCGTTGGATTAAGCATATATGAGTTTTGTGAATTTCATAGTTCCTTTTTAATCTGAAGGGTTTTTAGTAAAATAAAACTTCTTAATGGATCGTACAGAAACATCTCGAATGTAGAATCCCCTCAAGTAGTTTTTTATTTTTCAACCCCTCTGTTTACAAAATCCACAGTCTAGACAGATGGGTTATCAGTAAAAAAAACTTACCTGAGGGGTTTTAAATACAAACATAGTTGATGAGTTTTTTTATCCATCTTTAGTTAAGGGAGGTTATTTCACTAAAAACCATTATATAAAATACTTTATAAATACAAACCATATTATCATCTTTGGAGTTTTGGTAGATATTTCATGTTATTATATCAAAGAGTGTATTCGAATCAAAAGTATGTTTTTGGATAAGTTTGGACGTCAGAAAGTTTTGCAATCAAAGAAGACTCTTTCACCGTCTGGTCATCTCAAAGATTTGGACACCAAAAAGTGCAGACGACCAGCTTTCAAATGCAAATTGGCTTGGCAACATTTCAACGGTTAAATCTCTGATATTTCAGATGCACTGAAGAAATATGATGTTGCATTAAAGCAAAAACAAGTCAAGAAGAGAAGCAGACTGGGCCACCGTACCCACAGCCTGAGAGGACGCACCTGTGGCTAATACAACTCGGCTCAACCTATTCTGTTGTGATCTTGAGAGTTACAGCGACTTCTTTTCTCTAAACCCTAAACGTCTCAAATGAAATAAAGACTATAAATACATGTTTTTAAATATTTCTTATGTATCTCTTTCATGCTTTTGACAGAGAACAACTTCTAGTCGCTTCATCCGATTTGTAGAGGAGTTCTTCTCGCCACTTTGTTCTTCAACAAGAGAAGTTGTCTTATTCTTTTACTTTACTGTTTTCTTTTAAAACCAATGATGATGTTAACTCATTATGTATGTGTTATTCCCTTATTGGGTATAAGGTCATTAAAAGGGCTCTCATGGATTGATTAACATCTACATTTTTATATTAGAATATCGAGTTTATCAATGGTTCTTTTGTTTATTTTTATTAATAAAGCATGTTTGCTTGATTGATTATCTTGAACATACAACAGTTCTTATGTTCAAGATGATTG